AGAAGGAGGTGAGGACTGAGCTTCCCAGACCAGCTCGTCTCAGCCGTCTGAGGAAGTAGAGTCTCTGATGAGCTTTCTTGATCAGGCTGGTGGTGTTGTTGAAGTCCACAATCATCTCCTTTGTCTTCTTCACATTGATGTGAAGGTTATTCTCTCTGTACCAGCTCTCCATGAGCTACCCGCAGGTGCTGTTACCTGGCTGTCACTCACCCCCACCCATTCATCCATTCATCACCATCCCAACAGTGGGTCATTGGCGTGGCAGCCTTCCAAATGTCTTGGTCCTCGCTCTTGTGCTCCGTGCTTTTCTAAGTTGTCGCTGCCATCTCAGCCTGTTGCTATATTCATCCATCCATCCATTATCTTCTGCTTGTTCTGGACTCAGGTCTGGGGGGCAGCAGGTTGAGCAGGAGGTCCAGACATCTCTTTCCACAGCCACCTCTTCCAGCTCTTCTGGGAAGACTCCAAGGCACAGGCCAACTGAGAGACATGGTTTAATTACACTGCTCCTAATAAGCCCCGACTCTGCACAGCCCGCCACAGAAAGAACCCTTTTGCACCAATACTTTGGCTCGTATTTTTAGCTGATTCAAGGCTGATTCAGGACCTCTTTTTGTCCCTGCTTCTCTGGTGGAACCGTTGGAGCTGAGTCGAGCTGAGTCGAGCTGACTCCGGACCGAAACGTGAATTCAGGACACTGATTGGTCAGGAGCAGGATAAACTTTTCACCGATCCTCCATTTTCAATTTCTCGGAATGCGGAGCAGCAGCTGGATCTATTTTTAATATTTTAAAAACAACAATGACAACAATGTTTAATTCTCAAGTCCAGGTGTTTTTTTGTGTTTGGTGACCGACAACAAAATTAGAGCGAGCGGAGTCACCGAGGAGGATCATACGAGCTGCCGACCTGTTGAAGCCCGTGAGACCGGACGCCGAGCCCCGGCCTCGCCTGCAGGCGGGAGGACCGGGACGAAGGGTGGAAATGCTTTTTTAAAAACAGTTTATGTATAAAAAATAATGTTTTTTTAAATCAGTGAAGAATAAAAA